AGCTTACCAGGCAAAAGAGCTGCAAGTTACTTTACCGTGACACCGTTTCGCCCTAGCTCAGTTATCACTTTCGCCATAACCCCATTTTGTACTTCAAAAGGGAGCCGTTCCGGAGAAAAATGGGACGTAGGACGTTTCCACACGTTTTTTCAAACATGATAGCAAAACAGAGTCAGAACAATTGTCACAGCACGCCTCCTTTGTAAAAGAATGAACATAAGTCCAACACTATGTCAACGCAAGCGATAGACAATAAGTACTTCAAAAAATCTTCACAATGCTGGTACGCAGCTATACAACAAATATGCCAAATGAATTACAACCCGAGACTGCTGAGGCCTCGTCTGTGTCAAATAATTGCTGCTTGCCTTTCAAAACCAGCGGAAATCTTAGTCTAACCTCGAAAAATTCCGTAACTCGCTCAAGAATCTTCAACTGCCGCTAGAGAAGTCGCAAATGAGGGTAAAGGTCAAACCTACTACATCTTTTTGTCGCCAATAATTATACTATTACGCTAGTAACAACAAGAAAAACTAGCCATATAAAATCCTTCCTCAGAACTGCCTGCTAAAAGGAAGTTTCGTCAGTATTCCATGCCCTAGCTTCAAGCCTCCACAACAACCAGTGACAATGACAGGAAAGCAGACTATAGCAAACTACGACGAAATGCATGGCAACATGCTTTCAAATCATGCAAAATTCATGCACTATCCGATTTTTGCACTTCAAACTCAAACGTTAAGCGGTACAGTAGTCAAAACCAAAGCAAAACATAGCTGGTTACTGCAAGCACAAAGCAATGGGAAAAGCCTTTAGCTCACCTCCTCGTGCACCGAGGAACCACCGTCGTTGTCGTCAACGTAGTTCCGACTTCCGTTATAAGTCCAAAGCAGTTGTAACATGAGAACATGGTAAAACACCTTTAATAAGAATACGGTATAAAACAATTCGAAATTGGCATCAGAATTTGCCTAACAAACTTAAAATAACACAACACAGTCTGGGTCATGTGCTCAATACATTGCGATTTAGTGCGCGGCTGCGCGCAGTTTCTGTGAACTCATTCCTATCAGACTTCGCAAACCGAGCGATTCCCTAGCGATCCCCTCCCTATTCCGAAGTCGCGTCGCGGCTCGATTTTCTGGTACCGCAACGCAACCGCGAACGCTAGCGAATCGCTCGATTCGCAAAGTCTGAAATCAACCTTACAGCTCCGCAACCGCACGCTCATGTTATAAATATTATAGATGCCATTATCGTAGAAAACACAGCCTTATTGATGACGATAAGTAAATGACGGGAGGAAAAAAAGCGAGTCTTATCCGCAAAAATCATAAGATTATATGTATGCCGGCACTTGCCCAGGCTCGTATTTTAGCCAACAATCCACCATCGTTGGCCTTTGTTACATTAAATCGTGAGAGCGACCACAAATCCTACGATTTGAAATCAATCTTTTAACAATGATGAGATTATATTTCAAATGTAGGGTAAATCCAACCTGCCACGAGGGAATCGCCTGGTAAAGCCTTCTGCACAACTGGTATCTGATATACATAAATGGCCAGAATGTGAAGTGCAGCGAAGAACAGAAGGAACTGGAACAAATAAAAATCAAGTTCGTTCTCAGAATAAGATCCTCTCCGATCATAGAGTTAGGAAATCAAGCAATAAGAACCTCTATGATCACATAGTTAGGAAATCAAGCAAAGGAATGAAACAGTACCTTCTTGATTCTGTTATAAACATTATGGCGCAATGGTTTGTACAACGCCCACCAGCTGGCAACGAAGAGGAACGACAAGAAATAGATGCAGTTGAGAAAGGATGGCTGAAAATTCCTTACGAGTTCAAAAAAAAGCTTCAAGCCAAAATTGGGTCAAATTTTGATCGGTGCTTTATGTACTTGCTTCTGAAAGGACTAATCTATTGATGTACACCACGTGGTATTATACCGCCTAGCCACCTCGAAATCGCTGCCTCTTTAGAAAGGAATAAGTAGTTTCTGAAAAACTAACTAATAACTCGTACCTGAACGCAACCAACGAGAGCAGACAGGACGATTATAGCGAAGTTTGAAAAGCGCTTCAATGCCATGACTATCGACGACGGCCCACTTTTGTTGTGGGCTGTGCTAAATGGTGCTCCGTTCAGAACAGTAACAGTATTTCAGGTTCAAAAAAATTCACAATATTCAACTTTACTAAAAAGATGGAACTTGATCGAGGGCTCCTATTATAATTAAAACACATAGAAGTTAAACATCCAAAAGCTGTGGATGCAGGCGCTAGCCAACTTCGCCAGTGGTTTCGCTTTGCATAAGCTTGGCAGTGAATGAATAGTTGTTTCCGAAGAGAAGTAGTGGACTTTGTCGAACTCAACGAGATCACATATTATGGGTGCTTTTTCACGAGTATAGGCTCCTTGGCCCCACGAAAGGTGTCACATGTGCCAAAGAAGGCGCTATATAATAAATTAGTACGACGGCAAAAGAGCTTAGGATGACCGTTTTTGAGCTTCGAACGCCAGCGCCTTTGCCTCCTCAAGTAGCTCCGCTCTCGTACTCTTATTTCCGCAATCCTTTATCGCCTTCTTTACGCTGTCACGCGTCCGCACACGCTCTGCAGGCCCCAGAAAGCCACTGTATAAGACGGATCTCATTCAGATGTCATTACGACCAAATGGAGAAGAATGCATGGCGCATCCCACAAAGAGATTGATCAAGCCGAATGTTTATCCTTTACCCTTTACCCAATGTCCATGGATTTACTTTCAGCCATAGCCTCCGGACATCTTCGTTTATACTTTCAAGCATGCCTACGATTTAAGTGCGTCACTTCTAAGTGAAGATATTTATCATACATTACTCACCCATCGTTTGGCATGCGTACCGGCCGTACCGGGCCAACAACATCGAGGTTCTCAGAGCGATGAGAGAGTACTGATACCACGATGGCACTCGTAAATGATACTAAAACTGCAACAATTTCTGGTAGAATAGACTTCGCCGAGT